CATCCCGAGTTAATGATTGAAGTAGCGCATCCACTTGTTCAGAATTTTATTTGCTAGAAGAGCCAGGGTAACACTTCATTTGAGTTTATTCCAGCATTGTCTGTCATGTACGGGGACATTCAGATATTTTTAAACAGCCACCTCCCTTCAACTCAGACTCTCATTGGCTATTATAGGAAAGGCAAGGCAAAGGCAAGGTTATTAGTTGGCAAAATTTGGTGAATCGTAATGTCATTGTGCGGTCGCAATTTTGACGTATCATGGCCAAAAAAGATAAATTGTACAGAAAGTACACCGGGAAATCAGGAATAGCAGTGGCAAATTTCAAGCAGGCCATGGAACTTTATGTGTGTAGTGTATTGGATTTTGGGGACCCTTGCCGATTCAGCAGGACGTTTTTGTTGGAATATTATGATCGGGAGAGTTAATCTTCAAATGGAAGGTCAAAAGACAGTAAAAATCGTTGTGGTTTGTCTGTGGTCTGAAAGATTGCTGCTGTGGTAGTTGAATCCTCACACAGACCGACCCCCCACATGCAGTCCGTCAGTGTGTGTCCTTCTGTGTTGTAAATGGGCATGTGTGATATAAGGTTTCTAATGAGTGAGAAAAGGATGGTTCAAGTCCTAAAATATAATTAATTGTTATTACAAGTCTACAACATAAATAGATATAATTATGTGCTTTATCGCTTATGTTGCAAATGACAGTATGTTTAAAGTGCCAAAAAAAAAGGACATTAGACAAACAGTCGACGATAGGCAAATCTGACCAACAAGGTTCAACTATGTAAATCCTTAGTCGGAGACACCTCTAGTTTATATGCTGGGAATAAAGTGTACATTTTGATCTCACCCTCAAAAGACATCCAAAGGTGTACTAAGTAGGTCCAAATTAAAGATCAGTGTGCAATGAAAAAGCAGCGTGAAAGACAATTACAAACACCCCCTACTTTAGGCATTAGTGTCAGATTCTCCTTTTTGGAAAGTTGCACAAATTGTCGGCTGCATCTCCTTCTGCCATTGGCTACCCCAACCCAAGCACCTGCCTGTAAACTTTGACAATAATTTAACTGTAGTTTATATTCTTCTTAAGTTCAGTTGATGTGTCTTCTTTGTACCTGTTTTGTATCTTTAACTATTAATTGCAACCTAGGGCCCTATCATACGCTGGGCGCAAAGCAACATGTCGCGAAGCACAAGTGTCTTTCCTCCAGTGTGCATTCTGTCTAATACACGCAGAAACACATGCAGGAGCACACACACTCACATGCTCTGAAGCAACAGAGAGTTGGATTTATAATACATTTTATACATACCGTAAATCAAATAATGACCAGTAGTTAATGAGGTGCTGAGCCTCAGTCAGGGCGTGGGCCCACATGAACAAGCAGGGTTCTCTTGAACATGTTAATTCTCACACGTTTCCATTCATGCGAGCCTTCATCTAAGGTTTCTTTAAAAGAACGATTCCGAACTGCGTCAACGCTTATTCACAAGTTTAACATGTAAAGTTTGTGAATGAATGAATTTATTAACTGGACCAGTTTGAGAGAAATTAGACCCTGGGAATTGCTTAATTTCTCTCTCCTCTGTATAGCCCTGCAATAATTTACCACACAGTGTCTTCTGCCCTCTTTTTTACTCTACCTCCTCTCTTATCCTCTCTTGGCGCTGTTGGCATGCAAGTCCTGATGATGACACTGCAAGCTGCTGACACTGCACCTGCAGATTTCAGGAGGAGGGGAAGCAGAGATGCAGGAATACAGTAAGAAGCTGAGAGATGATGGGTAAAAGACAGAAAGAGAGCAAGAGAGGCAGAGTGTGCTTTTGATTGGTTTATAAGTGCTGTGTATAAGTGTATATGTAAGCAAGGTTTTAGATGGTCTTAAGTGGTAAAGATGGGCAACACCCAGTGCAAGATCCATAGCAAGCGAGTGCAGATCAAAAACAAAAGGTGCAGGCCAGCAAGAGCGAGGCAGGAGCAGGACATTGCAGGTAGGGAAAGTAGAAGATGCGACATACACTTCTTTTTTTTTACATGTTATTTTGGAAAATGAGTTCTTCCTGGTGGATTCTCAGAGATAACATTATTAACTTTGAATCTGGTGCTGCATTATTCATGTCTTGCTGAGTCTTTTTAGAGTTGACTTGTGGCTAGAGGGAAGGTTAGCGAGGTGCTGAGCTGAGTGGTAGACCTTGTGTGGATTGGATTAAGATTAAAATCTATGATCTGTTTTGTTTGTTCAGCAAAGACGAGAAACTCTGCTAATGTGACAGCTATGCCAGTATTCTGCAATATTCCTAGATGTTATCAGCCAGTGTTTGAGTCTCAAAACGTTGCTGTCTTTATGCTATTTTAGTTGAATTTTAAGTTAACTTTAAGGGGTCTAACTCGTTATGTGATCAGAACGATTTTAGAGCAAAGTTTGATGTGAAAACACGATGCCTCTAGCCTAACATAAACTGAGAATGTCAAAAATTATAAACTTCTGAAAGGAATATTCATTAATTCAATACATTCTAGATTTTTGTTATGCTGGAGAAGATTTACAGATGTTTTCTAATTCATGTGCTGAATGTAGAACGTTTTAATGTCAGATTTCCCCATGTTTTTCAAGTTATTTTATTTCATGAGTTTTACTTTTTGGTAAAAAAAAAAAAAAAAAAAAAAAAAATCAGCCAGAGTTTCGGGTGACCACAAATAGTCAAACATCTGACGATTCATTCGAAAGAGCCTCATTCGACTGCCAATCTCACAGTCAAACACCTGCTTATGAAACAAGGAACCTTCCATTCCAGCTAAATGGGGGTGCTCAATTTCTAATTTTACAAAGATTTTTCTTTTCTTTTTTTTTCAAATTAATCATGACTTATAGCCTATAATAATCTATTTATTAAAACTTTCAATGCAATTCTGAAAACAACATTTACTTTTAATCAATCTCCTAAGTGTGTGCATGAACAAGTTATTGATTGAAGCAGCAAATCCATGTTTTCAGAAATTCCTTGGCTTCAAGAAAGTTAGTCTGTTTATCGGCACAGTTGCATGCAATTGCTGGGTATAGTATGGGTCAGTGTGTATGTGGATTATTAACAGGTTTAGGTGGACAACCCCTTTGGAGCAGCAGCATCTCAGTTAGCCTTTAAATCTTTTAACTTTTTGTTGTTTGATCATCTACATGTTTCTGTGTGCAATACAGCTGGTATCTTTTGAATTCTTGTAATTATTTCTTGGTAATTGATTAAGACACAAGCAAGGACATAACTGTATTTGTGACATTATTAAGGACAAAAGCTGTGCAGTTGTTTGTTTAGTTCTCATAAGCTTGCTCGATGCTTCTGTCTGATGAGAGTGTGCTGATTTAATTGCAGGTGAATAAACGTCTTGATGAGTGATGAAAGGTTGCCTGGCTACTGATGTACAGTGTTGCTTTCAAGGACAAAATTGCACTTTGAATTCTGAGTTGAAAGAGGGGAAATGGGATCCATAATGAAAGCTAAATGGGCTCTGAGAGATGCATAATCACAGTCCTCTCTCCCTCATCTGCCAGATTTGTAGCATTTATCATTACAGGTTTGTGTTCTCTAAAATATTAACTTTGTATGGGATACATATGGAGGACTGTGAGGATTGGTGTGTTGGTGCATGCAGAGCTGCATTGGTGTGGTGTGTTTAGATGCCACCTGCTGGGGTGTCACAGTTTTGTCTCACACTTTAATATACATAATAAAAAGTCTCACTTCAATTTTGTTGGTATGTTTTCTGTGTATTAACTTATGTTATTGACGTCATATTTGTTGGTATTGTTTGTTGTCATGTGTTGGCTGACTTAGGTGTGAGGCTTCTGTATGGGTTGGTAAATTGTAAAGCCTGGCCTGGATCATTGCTCATTTTAGTGTGTCTTACTCCAGTTTTCTCTGTGATGCTGTAAGAAAGACAATACAAGCTAAGCTTCTAGTGTTGGCATACAAATCCAAAACTTGAAATCCATGTCTTGAAGTTACAAAAAACATTTTGTTAGTTATTTAGAACTACAGAATAGTGTATTTCTTTTTTTTTTCCAATCATAGATAATCCATTTTAGGCATAGAAGTCTTGATTATTAACTAGGCAACGCAGACACTGACATCTGGGAGCTGAGTCTTTTTAGAGTTGACTTGTGGCTAGAGGGAAGGTTAGCGAGGTGCTGAGCTGAGTGGTAGACCTTGTGTGGATTGGATTAAGATTAAAATCTATGATCTGTTTTGTTTGTTCAGTAAATGCCTATAGTTTGTGACACTGAAATTGGTAATGTGATTGAATACTTTGTTTGCTAGTATGTGCTCTTAAGCACACATGACCTGACTTAAGAAACTTGAGTTCACGCATCACTCCCTCAAATGTCTCGTAGAAAGATCTCATGTCAAACCTTTAATTACTTTAATATTTAAAAACGTTGTTTTCTCCAAACTGAAGTGTGTGGTACCTGGCAACAGGCAGTCTTACACCACGGTACTGGTTGGTTTATGAGGCTGAGGGCAACATTTAAAAAAATAAATGAAGTCTGCTATGTGCTCTGCAATTGAGTTATTGAGGATGAAGAAGAGTGAGGAGGAAGAAGGGGGCTTCAGCTTTGGATAAAAGCTCACCTATGTCTGCTGGTTAGTGAATTGGCATGTATCTGTAAAATAAAGGAAGTTAATTTCCTTTTGTCTTTTGATTGAATGACAAAAAATGTTTGATAAGTTTGTCGCAGAAAAGTGAAAAGGTCTGTTTACTACGGAGACCTGAAATCAATAGTTCGCAAGTTTTGGCAAAGTAGGCTCAGTTGACCATCCATTAATAGGAAAATCGCCACTAGACTGCTGAAACAGTCAAAAAATGTTACCTTTAGTTAAGTTATCACATGAAAAACATCACAAATAAACCAAAGTTATCAACTCCTTTGTGCACAGACTCATCTGTCTTATTTGTCAGACGTCATAAATATTCAATATGTTCTCTCTCCTCTCTCCTCTTAGCCGTGTCAAACCTGGATATAGAGAGCAAGCTATCAGTTCACTATCAGGCTCCATGGCACCAGCAACACAACGTGTTTCATCCCTGTACCCGACCACCATGTTTGGAGGAGCTGCACAGAAGCGCTCAGCTCAGCCTCAGAGCCCTGCATCGAGGTGAGAGAGGCAGATCCAGTCTGCAAATATGCATTTTATTTTACACAAATGGCATGGGCTGTGACTTTTCATGAGTGGCCTGTTTTTCATAGACGAACAACAGCACCAACGCTCCACGAGTCGGGAGAGAAACAGGGTGACCATCTCTATCTCAGTGGCACCCCCTATGCCCACGTTTCCCTCTCCACACTCCATCCGCCGGCAACAGAGGAGTCGCCTGGCACGGGCGGTAAGGACAACTCACAGTGCTTATTGAAAACACTTTGTAAACAATCAAACAACACAGGGGATATTTATCCATCAATTATCTACTTTAAATGACAGGAATTAAAAATATTTATGTTGCCAGAGTTGTAAAGGATCAGTCAATATAACATACTTAGAATTTGTATTTTTTTTGCTTATTGTAATCTTGGATTCTTTTTAAATGTGTGTAAAAAAAAAAACTGATACAATTTGTCATTCCAATGTTTCCATGCAGCAAGAGAGAGCAGAGAGGGAGCGAGAGTTAGAATATCAACCCAGGAAGGTAAACAGATCTGTGTGTTCATGTCTGTGTGTGCACAACATGTTGGTCCCTGTTTTAAGCTTTGTTTTTAATCCACCTGTTTGTACAGTTACTGTTGTTTCTCTTTGGTCTTATGCAACATATGATTCATGAGACACAGTATAAACATTTAAATTTTATTATGTGATTTTATTGGTATCAGTTTACCATTCATCAGCAAGCATAATAGGTATGTTGAGAACTTGTCTTTTTTAACTTATCCTTAATTTCATTCTTTCTTTGTCTCTTTCAGGAGAGGAGCGTGAGAGAAATAGAGATGCAGACAATTCAGAGAAAAGTAAGAAAATCCTCAGATACATGGTCAGAAAACCAAAAAGATTGCCTCTCATTTCATTGATCAATTTTTTATCAAATCTATTTGAATCTGTGTTTGCACATACACCTATATGTTTTTGTATGTGTTTTCTCTTTTGCCACAGGAGAGGCAAGGGAGAGATGCAGATAATCAGACGATCCAAAGAAAGGTAAAGGAAGATGTCTGAAAGGAAAACAATCATTACACCTTAACTTAATCTTACATAAATTGTAGCTCAGAAAATCCTTAAATTAGTCATTGAAAATCGAGGAAATGATGGCAAGATTTTAAAAGTATCAATGCTTTAAAATTAGGATTTCATGATTTTACCATAGTGGGCATGACTTACGTTTTTACTGGAAAACCAGAAAATGTGTCTGTGTCATTCTCCTTTCATATTTGGACCTTTCTTTACCGTTTTTTTATTTTTTTATTTAAAATGATTTGATATTTTGGATTGTCATGTCATCCGTTCTTTTGTTTTTCTTTTTTCATATTTTGTGCTCTTAGTTTGAGTGCTTTTACTCACTTCACCCTATTGAAGGTTGCATCTTCATTCCATGGAATAGAAAGGTATCAAGCATTTTTTGTTTAATGTATGATTATCTTTAGATCACATTAGTTGTTATTATTTTTTGTATTTATGCCTTGAAATCTATGCTATACATTTCCATAGTAAATATTGTATTTTAGTCTGGCCAACAATAATTATAACTGTAGAATTGTATGAACAGCTAGTATGTATAATGTTGCTGCTGTCATGTCTGTTTTCTCCAAGGCTACCTCTACAGAGGAAGGCGAAGGTGGTGAGATCCTGGTAGGCCATAGAGCAAAAGCCTCAGTCCCAAAAGCAGCCTCAACCCAGGATAAACAGACAAACTGGTCCAAGGAAAACCACCCGCCATCAGATCATAACACATCTGATTCTCATGCCGTCTCCTCGTGCATTATTCCCATTAACGTTACAGGTGAGATGATATGAACAATAATAAAAAATAATGTAAGCAAGAGCAGGGCTGGTACTCATTAGGCTCACACCAGAGACCCTCTTGTTGTAATACAACACTGCTAACAAGTTCCCCTGTTCCTAAATCATGAATCAAAACCAGACTACCTGCATATCTTTATGTGTATTGAACTAAATTAAATTTATAAGCTTATTTTTACGGCTCATGGCTTTTGTGTTGTTATTGCAGGAGTTGGGTTTGACAGAGAAGCAAGTGCTCGTTGCTCTCTAGTTCATTCCCAGTCAGTTCTTCAGAGGAGAAGGAAGTTGAGGAGGAGGAAGACTATCACAGGAATACCCAAAAGAGTACAACATGATATGGGTACGTTATGGGGCACACCTGCTTATTGGTGGAAAATTTGGGTATTATAGAGTGCGGGTCTTAATTTTGTAGGTAGGACATATTGCTATTTGTTTCATCGATAGTTTACCCATTCATTTGCTGAGCTCTGGCAGGTGTTCTTGCAAATACAGACATGCATCCATGGGAGAAAGCTTAATCAGCAACAACAATCACATGCAAACAAAAGTCCTTCAAGTCATTAAATCTTTTTAACCAACCTATGCCAGCTACCTGTGAGCGACCTGCTGGTTCAACTTTGATCTATTTACCTGTTTTGCATGCAGTTTTTAATGCAATTGACAATTTCCATGTACATTTCAAATCCTTTCATCTTTGTTTTGCAGCCAATTTATATGGTTTCAGTAAATGACCTACATTTTAGATTTTTTTAACAATCTGATCAATAATCATGGAGAGCCCAATTCTCAGCAATATCTTAGGACTAATAGCCAGAACTTCAAAATGAGCCTTATTGTATTGTGGATCACCTTCCAATGTGGAGGCCATGTTTGGTTCGTTTCCATATATCCTCTAAAGAAAAGGTTTGTCCTTGATATTTTGGACACTCAACATGCTTTGTCTCTTCGCATTCAGACTCAGATGAATCACCTGTAGCAAGGGAGCGCACAGTGATCGTCCATGCCAACCCGCACCAACTCTCTCTCTGTCAGGAAGACCTCTCTATCAGTGGTCGCCTCCATCACACTCGTGACTCTGGCTGCCAGACAGATGATTTCCTTATAGCATGTACGTTTCTCAGAATGCACAAATATATATTGTTCTCTATTGTAGTTCCTTTTAGTCTATCAGGCTCACATAGTTGTGATACTGACTAGGACAAAAAGTTCTTTAATAAGATAAAATATTTTACTTTGCACTTATTACTGTCAGTATTTCTAGGATAATGTTTAGTTACTCCTCAGAAAGCTGCCATTGCTAAGTTTGAAGAGGAGAAGGGACTCCCTAAAAACACAGTATATCACCCAGGAGCAGTGTGTCTTACATCTTGTGTCACACTTGCCTGACAAGGACACTAGGCATATATTGCTTGGTTTGTGACCATCTGTTACACTCATTTTCTGAATGTAGTGTGGGATACAATAAGTCCACTATGGTATAATCATTTTTCCCTCAAAATTCTGACAGCACACATTTATTTTTATTTTTATAGAAGCCCTTTATAGTGTGTAGAGTGAGTAGTGTTTTAATTAGAACACAGCCTTTGTCATAACCCCAAGATTAAACCTGCAGGAGTTGCATGCCTTATTTTCATTTAAAAACACCTTTATTTCTTTGTTTGTTTTTTTTACAATAGTTTGTTTCATTAGATACATTCTGATTTTCCTCATTCAGTATTATTGCTGGTAGGTGTGCAACCACCATTACTTCCCAATAATATTTCATGGTGAAAAACTGTGTTTTTAGGAACTCTCAACAGGACAACCATCTGAAGGCAGCCATTAAATTATCAAACCAGTATGCTTTCATCTGCAAACTAGATCCATCAAACTTGAATTAAACTGTGTATTGAGGGTAACCTTTCTATAGCACAAATGGTAGACATCTATGTAAAGTAAGAAATATATCCCTCTGTTCCCTTCCCTCTTCTTTCATTTTCCCCCTCTTCAGGTACAGCTGCTCCTTCCCGAAGGCGCATTAGAGCTCAACGTGGCCATCAGGGAATCCCTGCTTCTCTGTCCCATTCAACAGGGAACATTTCTTCCCTGGGTGACCAGTCAGACACCTCTTACACCAGTGTCGCAGCTCATGTACGATTGCGCTCTCGTAGCTTACCACGCGAGGGTGGACGTCTGATGGACAGTGATGAGGATGATGATGACAATTATGACGACGATGACGAAGATGAGGAGCTTTCACCATATGAAGCAGAGGACTTTATTCCACCTGGCCCAAGTCCAAGAATGAAGATGATGATGATGAAGGACGAGGAAGAGAGCACAGATGACCAGGCAGCTCCTGAGCCACTCCAACTTGGAAGCCTGAAAAGGTTGCAGCGATCTGGAGAAAGAGACAGAGGGGGAGGAGGAGGAGGAAGTCCAGAGCATAGCTGGATGGAAAGGGGTCGCTCCCGCCTGCCCCGCAAGGCTGACATGGGCAGCTGTGAGATTTCATCAAGTTCAGATACTTTCAGTAGCCCTATCCACTCTGTTTCTACAACAGGAGTTCTAGGCAGCCATGTGGACCACAAGGAGGACCACCAGTCATCAAGTGGGAACTGGAGCGGTTCCAGCTCTACCTGCCCTTCTCAGACATCTGAAACCATTCCCCCGCCCTCTTCTCCACCTCTGACAGGTTCATCTCACTGTGACTCAGAGCTGTCACTAAACACTGTGCCCAATGCCATTGATGAAGGATTCTCCCTGGATCCATCATACCACTCTGACCTCAGACCCCAGGGCCAGGGTCACAGGTCAAGCTCATTTACATCCTCAGCCACAGATCAACTGGATGATGCAGGGGTCAGTACTGCTAGTGAGGGGGAGTGGACATACCCCCCAGATCAAGACCAGACTGATCCCGATCATGACCTTGACCATACCCAAAACCTTAGCCAGAGCCATGGGTTAGCCCAGGATTACAGCTCCAAACAAGGTCTTGAAGACCACATTTGTTACAGTGATAACAAGACAAGCAACACTGGAAAAGAGTCTCATTATCCATCTGATATAGACAGTTTCTATTCTTCCTCGGTGCATTTTGGGGAGTATAATCAGAGTTATAGTGGCTACATGTATAACTATGCAGACCCAGGGCCTGACTGTGGCAAATCCAACACTGTGGCAGCAACACTGTCCCATGGAAACTACCCCACACTTTCAGCTGACTTCAGAGCAGGCACTATGACCCTGGGAAGGACATGTCGACCACTAAGGAAACCAAAAGTAAAACCTCCCCCACCTAAACGGACAACATCACTGAAGGAGACGAGTAGTAGTGTTGATGTTGGGACAGACACACAGACAGATCAGGATCAACCAAAGACAGTTAGTGAACAAGAATTTACATCGTCTTCCACAGATATGAAGCTGGAACTGGAGCTCGAGCTTGGGGGTGCTCCAGAACCATTGCAGACATCTTGTTTAGTGGCAGAGCCTTTGGGAACCTGGGGAATGGGACTTGGAGGAGCTGTCGACATTGTAGAGCCCATGTCCTTCAGCTCAGCAGATACACACTCATTTAAGGATGAAGGTGCTGTGCAATCTGACTATGCAGACCTATGGCTTCACAACACTGAGCTGAAGTCCAACAATGGTGAGTACACATCCATGTCCAACTCAAGCACAGCTACAGGCACTACTGTCATGGAGTGTATAAAGTCACCAGACAGCTCTTCCTCCTCCACAGAAATCCAAACCCAGGCCATTGCACAGGCAGAAACCAGGGCGACTAGTCCACCACTACCACCTGGAGACTTCAAACTCGGATCACCTGAGAAGTTAGCTGGCCTGGCCTCCCCATCAAGTGGCTATTCCAGCCAATCAGAGACTCCAACATCAACCTTGCCATCATCTTCGGCCGCTTTCTTCCCAGGACCTCTGTCTCCCTCAACTGGCAAGAGAAAGCCCAAAGTGCCCGAGAGGAAGTCTTCTCTTTCTTCTCTGCAGCACTTCCCCAGAGATGGGACTGCTATTTCCTCTGGATATAAGAGAGACCCAGACTTCCCACCTCCACCATCTCAACTTGATCTCAATGTTCTTCAAGGCAGTTATGTCAGACATACGCTATCCCACCGGACACACCACATGCACACGCTCCACCACAGCAAACACAGAGTTGCAAATGTTTTAGTCTCTGGAACAAAGTCATTGGCCCCTGATGCATCCAATACCAACCCATTGCTAAGTTCAAACTCTGCTCTAACAATTCCAAGTTCCAATCTTTTAGCAATTACTCCATCTGCTCTCCGTTCAGTGCAGCTCCATTCTGTTAGCAAATCAGCAGATAGAGCTACCACTAAAGACCAAGACACAGTAATTGGAGTGGAAACTGTTACAAGACCAAAATGTCCTCCAAGTGGTTGTACTCTTGCTCCACCACCTGTAAACACTAGGCCTCTCCCTCCTCGAAGACCACCCCCCAGACCCCCAGTTCATGACCACATCTCTTCCCCTGAACACTTGCATCCACCTCCACCCGGCCGCCATCCTGATGGGCCTCCATCCTATGAAAGCCTCCTACTTAGACAGGACCGCTATGGACCAGGAACATTCTGGGCTATGACAGCCTTCAGGGCTCGGATGGATCCAACATCTGATCTCTCAGAGGACAGCTCACCCTTGCACCGCCCTGTGCCCCGCGCACCCCACCCTTCTCCTGTGGATCTACACACGCATATTCATTCACACACAGAGTTCAGAGGGCTCACGCACTCATCTCATGCACACCCTGAGTTTAGGGTTTTGGGGGAGCGGTCATTTTCCCAAGATGATGATGATGATGAAGACGAGGAAGAAGAAGAGGAAGAACAGGTGAAAGAACCACCAAGACCTGCATGTTCCAGAGGAGGCATACGTTCCGAACACCATCCTCCTCCAGCATATGAATTTGCTGGGGGATCACACTTAGACTCAGGGCCCTGGGCTAGTCCAGTCAAAGTGCCTGGTAACACGATGGAGACATCGCATCCTTACCTAATCAGCGATGCAAGGAAAAGAGGACAAGAAGAGCATGAAGAAGAGGAAGAAGTGACATCAGGTGCTACCAGAAGTGCCCATCAGCATCACCCACAGGAGAGCAAAGATGACTCAACTACTCCTGACACTGAGGATTACTTCAGTAAAGGTAGGCTTTTCAACCTATTAAACGGCAGAAGTAGTAAGATACCCTTTGTAAAGAAAGAAATCATGTAAAACTATATTATTACTTGCTACTATTTTTATATATCAAAAAACAGCAATAAAAAAAGGGAAAAAAATATGTTTTACCCTTTATAAACAAGGACAAGTTGAAAGGATGGTTACTTCACCAATTGAACTCTTAATGATCAGACAACCAGATGACATGATAGGGATGTTGTGTGCCACAGATTCCACGCCCAGTGATAATTCGCTCTCCCCTCTGACGGATGACACCAAAGTGGATGAAGACATTATAATCACATCACCCAACAAGACCCGTACAACTGAGGATCTGTTTGCTATGATACACAGGTGATGTATATTTTTTAATAGTGGTCAATCTTTTTGACGGCTTCTTCAAAGCAAATTCATATCGGTGTTCATTTTATTAATTTCAATACGTTTTCATGCACTGTCTAAACTAATATTAAATGTATTTTATCAGATCTAAAAGAAAGGTCCTTGGCCGTAAAGATTCAGGAGACTTAAATGTGAAGTCTCGTCTCTGCCCTACTGCTCCAGTGGCCCCTGTCTCCACTGTTATCATCCCACCAGCCCCTCCACTCAACATCCCAGCCACGCCAGCCACTGCAGCTGGGTCACAACGAGCCCCAGTGCCAATCTACCGCAGCGCCAAGAAATCCAGCACGTCCAACGAGGAGTTTAAACTCCTGTTGCTCAAGAAAGGTAGCAGGTCTGATTCCAGTTACCGAATGTCAGCCACAGAAATTCTTAAGAGCCCCATCACCCCTAAAACCCCAGGGGAGTCTGTTCAGGAAGGGTCCATTCGGCAGTACGAGGAATTACCCTCTACTTTTCAAGAGCCCGCTATTTCTGGCCTTGATCAAATCCAAATACCAGGCCTTTTTCCTAGGGCAAACTCAGAGAGTTTCACCCCTAAAACCCTTCCAATGTCAGCTGCATCTCGACAGGGACGTTCTCGAATCCCCCCTGTAGCCAATAGCAGTCGTTACAGTACACGCAGCCGCCTCTACACAGCCCCCATGCAAGCCATTTCCGAAGGGGAGACAGAGAACTCAGATGGAAGCCCCCATGATGACAGATCATCTTAAAACCACATGAAGAGAGATGTTCTCTTTTCTTTGTTGTGTCCTACATTTTAAATGATCCCTTCTACTTTTTTAATATTTGACAGGTGTGTTATCGAGGCCAATTCAAACAAAATCTGACTGTTACTAAAACAGCACCCAGTCTTGGTCAAGTATTATATTAAACTGTCAGAGAGAGTGTTGGGAGATGCTGAACGATAAGGGGTTGATCAAGAACTGATATCTAAATACTTTATCATCAAAAATAAATTGCTTCCTCATAGTTAAAAGATAAATACTTAAGACCTATTTTGATTGAACCGTGTTTTCTAAAATAAAATAAAAAACATTTAAAAAACAGTCCCACATATTTGGTAAATTACGAAAAGAAATTTTGTGAATTATGGACTATGTGCTTGTGCATGAACAAGCATTATCCACTGACATTTTTACTTTTTGTGTTTTGAATGGTGTGGGTGTGTTTGTGTCCCAGAGGATATGTTTTTCTTAATAAATTACAAAAACCTCAAATTAAATTAATATTCTTTAAACTTTTGGTGCCCAAAGCATTGGCCAAACTTCACAGAGTCCATACATCTGCCAGAAACAAGGAATATTTCATTGTGGAAGTTACTTAGGACAAAGCACCAAGTTATCAATTTCTTTCCATCTGCAGACCTGATTCAGTCTTTACAACAGACGGAGCCAATGATATATTTCTTCACATTAAATATATCCAAGAGGATAACATGATGCATGTATTTTTGTAAAACTATGCCTCAGAACATGATGATGATGTTCACCATGTTGCATGACCCTATATGGAAACATCCCCTGGATACTGGTTTCTGTCGACATTTTTGTGGTTCTTTTGTATTTTAAGAATGATTAATCTTTCAAGGAGTAAGGGCTTACGCCTAGATGGGGCCCATTTGTAAAAGATACAGGCTAGTTATGGACAATCGCACAGTGGCCTTTCTCTAGTAGAGGTGGTTGTAAGCAGGGCATTTATAAGTCCCTGTAAATACATGGACCTGCACCATGTTTCATCAGAATTCAATCACATACTTATTTAAACCCAACCTCAAAATCTAGTATGTTAAGACTGATTCAAGCTTTTCCAGCTGCTGGCCAGTCTTGCTGTGCTTACTTGACGTTGAAAAGGTGCATTTCAAAGCAGTTTTAAAGATACCATTGAGTGCAGACGGTAAAATGCTTTAGAGGGTCCTAAATCGGTTTGGCTAGAGGTTAGTTTGGAAAGATTTCTGAGAAACAACCTCGATTTTGCACTTGATGATGTTTTTTCAAGAATTTGTCTTGAAACAAAAGTCTATCTTATAATGAAATTGCATATGTATATTTGTACTAAATATAAAGTCATATCTATATAATACAACAAGCAGAAATTTTATAGGGAATAAACCTGAGTGTAGCAAAGAAGAACAGGTCTCACTGGCAACATTACACATGACTCTTAACCATGTACACTGTTCTCCTCTCCTTGTTGCCTCTCCTTCATTTGCACTGACCCAGTAGCATTAGACAGGTGAAAGCTCAACCCAGTGGCTGGTGTACGCGATTCTGTCTTACCCTTCAAACTTAAAATTGCAAAGAGAAAAGACAAAGGGAGGGAAGGACTACATACCACCAATGTTAATAATCTACCGTGCATCCAATGCATTGTGGCAGCTTATATTAACAGCATTTAACTATGACATATGCCTTCTCATCCCTCCAAAATATGTTACACATGTGGAGTGTTAAGTGTGTTACAGAAAAAAAGTACCATCAGTGAACAGTTTGAACTCTCACCTGCCTACCACAGCAAACACAACACATATACTTTTTGCATACGGAGACCGTACTTCAGAAGAAACCATTCACTGTATTCTGTGAATACCTCAACAAGCATATTACTGTTTTATTGTAAATGCGATAGATAGCTAGATAGATAGATAAATAGATAGATAGATAGATAGATAGATAGATAGATAGATAACAAAACCACAACTGTTAAATACTCAGCGAATCAGAATTGCAGAACTGACACTGTGTAAGATGGGGAGAGTAAAAAGCTGTGAAATTATCAGAATTTATCATTCGTCATACCCATATTGCTGAAGCGCATTTGTTCCTGTTCATTGTTTTATTTGTTGTGTTTTTTATCGCATGCAATAAGAAAAAATGAAGAAAGAAAAGAACACCACCATATCATTCTTTTTATCTGAGGGATGTCTCCATACCACGAGAAGCATTTCTGTATTTTCTGTTCCAATGTCAAGTTCAATAGTGTGTTCTATAGATGTACAAACTGTCTGGCTAATTCTGTTCTGTATAGTCGTGATCACAAACAGGGGTTTATCTTGTACTGTATATCTACTCACTGGACAATCATAGGTATAAGAGACTGTAAAGAAAAATATAAATAATCTGTTGGGATGGAGAATCTGAACACTCTTGGTGCTGAGTACTTGTCTTGATGGAGCTATGGAAGTGAGAGAAATATTTTCCAGGAGAAACTGCTGATTAAGTTTGAAGTGCACATCTGGACAAACTGTTTTGGATCAAGTGTACAAATAAAAAAATAACAGAAATGGATTAAATATCCATTTATAGACCCTAAAAATAGTTTGATCTGACCATGAAGTCATTGTCTTTACTTTTGACTCATCACAGTTTATTGAATCCCACTTAACATTAGAACTGAAACATACATTTCCTAAATCTGATAGAGTAACACATAAAACACACTGAAATTTGGGACGTACAAATTGATTGTTTAAACAACCAAAAGCATTCGACTATTGTTTACTGTGATTTTTCTGTACTGTACTTGGCATTTATTCTATACCGCTATTTTAATACTGTTTCCTTTATCTGTGAAAGAATAGATTGATTGTCACAATTTGATCAGAGAGACAAACAGTGAGGTTCCAATGCAGGCTCTAGTTGACCACTCATGTCCTGTCTCAAACCTCAGTCCTCTTTAGCTTGGAAATCAAACAAAGCCAGAACTTATAACCTTTAAAGATTCTTTTTCCAAAACTGTCTTACCACAATTTTGACATATAGAGGAGTGTGACGAAGCTAATCTTTCTTTTTTAAAGGTGTACAGTATGGAAGAACACAAAACAGACTTTAAAATTGCCACAGAGAACAGAAAAATATACAAATGTTAAAGATACAGTGTAATCTATTTAAAAGAGGCTCCATGGTAAAAAAAAAAAAAAAACTAGCTAAGACTTAACAGATTTGAATCACTTTTGTATTTTTGTATAAACCTGTAAATAAGTTTTTAAAGAAAAAAATGTTTCAAATTCTTTCTTTTGTAAAATAAACCAATAAAATCTTAAAAACAAACAATACTTTTTTTTCAAAGTTTACATGATTATTTCCAAGACTTTGTATATTTTGGAGCTGTGCAACACTTTCAGTCGTGTATTTATTTTTGGGGAGGGGTTACATTGTGAAAAAACCATTATTCTATATCCAATTCATTTGAACAGCTCATCCGGCTGCTTAGTAACTGTGCATAGAAAAAAAGACAATAAATGTGATTGCGTTCAAACAGACAGCCTTTTGTGTGACGCTTCATTTATTTCTATTAGAACCAAGTGCATTGACAGAATTTCTCCACAAGATGGTACTGTTTTATATCCTCTAGAACTCTATTAGCACAGCTTGATAGGGAAATGCCTTGAATGTTTCGGTGATTTGTGACTTACCTTGTACTTAGGTGACTTGAAATCCTGGTGTCCATCAGCTGCCGTCCGTCAACAATAAAACCTCTGGGAGATGAGCCATTTTTCTACCACCAGGTATGCGTTGCCATTGTTTACAGCCTGACCAGCAACTTGAGAATCCAGAGTTGAGTTGGAGCAACTTGTTGGCTGTATCTGCATGCAGATGCCTGTTTATAGAATTTGATAGAAGTTGATTCCTCAACAGTTGGGAAAGTTCAGGGATTGAAGTAGCCTACGGCTGAAGAGTTCTGCCCTTTTTTTTCCCCTCTCTTCAACGACTGTTTTCTTGTGTAGCCTACAGACAAGAAAATCTGTAAGGCAGTGGTCGGTAGTATATGTTTATATAGCCTATATATGTGTGTGTGTATATATATATGTGTATATATATATGTATATATATATACACACACACACACACACACACACACACACACACATGGCAAGCCGTTCAGGAAATTAATATATTGAATGAAACTTTGATTATATTGAATGAAGTCTGAATATATTGAATGAAACTTTGAATATATGGAATGGAACTTTGAATATATTCAAAGTTCCATTATATAGGCTATATAAACAAATATATATAGGCCAAATCATGTCATACCGCCATGACCGCCTTTATATTGCAGAATCGGTAAAGTGAAGACCTCAAAATTTGTTTTTTTAAGGTCCTCTTTCAATAGGGATACCAGTAGGCCTACAGGTAATGGCATGTCGATTGTCCCTGAACAAGTGCCAGAATATTTCATGCTTCTTGCTGTCTCCCTAAGCTAACTTAAAAATGTAAAACTTTGTCGTTGACCACAATTGAAAGCTCCTATTACTAAATTACTAAATTACCTATTATAATAAGTGTATAATTAAAATATTTCTTCACAGTTACCAAGTTAAATTATTATTGGTCAAGTCTTACCTTAAACATCAGAGCGCATTACTTATAGCCCACTAGTCTCTGTGGTGGGTGTCTACAAAAAGTATGGAGCTGTCTCCTAGCAACATGTGTCATGAGCAAACCAACAAGCTAAAGTTGATCTTACAAACTCAATTAGGGCCAATATTAAAATGTTTTGTAACTTACACTCACTGTTTTAAGAATTAAACCTGTAGGTAGCCAAAAGCTGTAGACTTGCTCACCCCTCAACGTTTTATAGAGTTACAGATTTTTAGAGGTCCCATAGCTGCAGGTAGATTGATTATGTTGAAATATTAATCAATAGTTAGGCTTTATATTATAAATAACATTTTCAATATTTGAAAAACCTTTTTGTTCTTCTGTTTGGTACTTTGAGAATTGCATGACTTTTAGTTGTAACACTTTGTTAAAGTTACCAAAAAGATGAGTACTTCTTCCATCTTGGGAAACCAGTCATGTTTTTATTTAGTCAACACAATCCTTATTACACTTTGCCCTTTTTGCACAAGAGAAACACTTTATTTGAAAGACTTCACTTTATTTAAACTTATGTGCCTACTTTTGAACATTTGCCAACATGGAGGGAGCTAGTCATTGTTTTCTTTAACCTGCTTTACACATTAGTTAAAAAATAATAAAACAGTGCCGTTAACAGATAAGAGAGCTTTTAACAGACTCTGAAGTACAGATAGCTGCATATATAATTCTTATAGAATCTGCAAGTCCAGTCATAATTAGCCTTTTCATCCTTAGTGCTTCTGGTGAGCTATTTGAACTTTCTGATCTCTTGAACAATGATTCCTTTGGGATTGTCACTTTCACTTAAGTAAGACATCCATGATCTTTTCACCCCATCCCCCATCCCCTACACACAGAAACACACAACACACACTCAAAGACATAAAACCCTAACAAACAAACAAAATCCACAAAAACTGAAGTGCGTTTATCCCTGAAAGTTATAACTTTTTTCTGACATTTGGTTCAAGTATGTAAACTTCTGTTTGCCTTTAGTTTTTCTCATCAAAATTATGCTTTTACTTTATGAACCAGTTCAGGGCGTAAGTGTTCACTAGCTGGGTGGCTAAATCCCACTCACCCCACCAGAAAAAAGGGGATGTGAGATCATTAAAAGGAAACTGAAGCAGGAAAATGCTTTACTGCCATATAAAGTCTGATCATTTAAACAGACTTTCTTATAAACTTATAAACTGTCTTCTTATAAAATGATGATTTATCCTTTTATGGAATAGGTTAGACAGGACATATTAAACACCCTGATGGGCTTATTCAGTCATAACTCATTATAACCACACAGGTCAGAAAGGCTTGTAAAAAAAAAACCATGGTGGCTTTAAGCCTTCAGGTGATGTACAGAAATGTTTAATAGTGTGAATGCATATCAAACATATTAAACAAACATATTTTGTTGAACTTACAGTAAAAAATCGCATATATACATGAGATGCTGCAAGCAATAGATCACAAGGCATTAAAAAATATACATAGTCGGTTATTGTGCAGTCCCTTTATGTTGTATTAATTAACACACAATGCTAATGATGTAAAACATCCTCTAGAAAACAACCCCTACTAAAACCTGAGTTTCACATTAAAGCAAAATCATTTCAAGTATCAACTTGTTAACACTACAGGAGAGCAACAGTGTGATAAACAGCTACATGATTTGGTTTGAAAATTGGTTCTGAAATGTTCAGAAAATTTTGGATTTCTGCCATCAAAAACTGATAAATACTTTTAGACATGTGATTATTTACAAAGACACAACATCTTCCTGTAGGTATAGTTATATGATGGTGCACGCAAAAACACTCACGCCTCATACAAGTTGATACACTTTGTTTAAAAAAGAAAATCTAGTAACTTTTTACAAAGCAGTTTTGTCCATCACGTACTTGCTCAGGAGATCCTCATTGTTCTGTACAGCACTTAAACTAGACAGTTGATGGCATTCATCTTGGTGTATCATGTGTGTCTCTCAAAGAATATTACAATCATGTAGTCATGTCATGATTCAAGCTGAAACCAAAATCTTGAATGTCTTCCAGCACTCAAAAACAGACACAAATAAAGAGTCAGTCCCGGATTTTCTATGTGTGCAGCCTGCCCTGCAGAAACTAATGAAAGGTTTTCTTCCAAAACAAAGTATCCATCATGTAAAGAAAATGTAATTTAATTCAACCAAACCTAACTCGTGAAAAACAGGAGTAATTTGTGTAAAATTCATTTCAGGAAATAATAAGACTTCTCCTGATTTTATTAATGCAACCCTTCCTTCACTTCTTACGCACGTACCTGGAGCATTCTTGAGGTTAAGTACCTGTTTGCACCGTAATCAACGTAATGATTATACAATCAGTGGCTTGCATTAACAAAATCTGACTTTCTCCAACAGACAAAATCATTCAGAAACATTAATGCGTTAATGTTGCATTGTTAGAAACGATACAGTGAGACGTTCACTGAGAATCCAGCCTTAAACTGTAAATGAAAACAAAATAATAGTTTATAATCTGAAGAAATAGAAAACCTTCAGCTGATGTTGGTGTGGAAAAGGCTAAAGAGGTGAACTTCATAAATTTGATAGCTTGATGTGCTACAGTGGTTCATAATAAGGCAAAAAATAAACTTACATTAACAGAAGTCATGCATAAGCTCAGATATCTACTCTGGGTCATGACCCTTATGCAGTATAAAATAAACCTGTTGAAAAGTGTTCAAAATCAGAGCCATTGGGGCACATTTTGAAACAAAAACTAATTTAATTTGATTTCAAATTAAATAACTTCATTTGTTGAATTTAATGTTTTTATGCATTGAGTTTGATTATTAAATTAATCAATTAAGATGAGCTTTTTTAAATCATGCCATACTTCTTCTCTACCTGGCTGTTACTTCATTTCCTGTCCAGTAATAGTAAATGCGATGTAGTAAGAAAATACCACAAATGTATTTCCCTCAAAAACAGAACAACAAAGTAGGTGTTGGGGTTGTGTACTGTGTCCCATGGCTGACGCGCAATTGAGGGCTCTCTCTGACCAATCACGTGGGAGCAGCACTTTGATGCTGTGACTTGAAACTTCAGCCAAGGTAATTTAAAAAAATACTAGGTCACAGTTGCTGTCCATATAATATGCCCATTGAAAAGCATAAATGAACAATTCAAAGCAAGTCGAGTCACTCCATGTTTATCATGTAGTGGAAATGAGGCTTATGATATTTTGTGGCTAAAAGTAGTCATATTTCAACAGCTTATTTAAAAAGAAAATACTGAAATCAGTTTTTTTTAAATCCACATCATGTGTATGTTTCTTTTTGTAAAATCCTTGTAGGTTATTAAAATTCACAAAGAAAGGAAGACTTGACCTCAGTGTCCTAGGCGATAGCTTCACCCCTCATTCAGGTGAATCTGCCAGCAATATAAAAAGAGAGCCTTCATCCTCTATTGCTTGGTCTGTTTTAGCTTCTCGATGTGATGACAGAGTTTGAGCGCCGGCCCCAGCTTTAGTCCCATGTACTTCATGATGACATCACTACGCAGCAACATCAGGGCTTTGCCATCAATCTCCTGTAAAGGAAGGAGCATGACGTCAGCATGGGGACATGTTTCAAACAATTGTCTCAGAACTATTCAAACCAAATAACAATGACTTGAGTCAGGAGTAATCTGGTGGAGATTCAAGTCTGCTTTATCCTGAGCATGGACACAAAAAAAACTCTGTGAGAGTTTATTTAACCAGATGACTAGAACACAGTGTGAAAACCAGTCGGTCATGTAGTCAGTTCACCTTCAAACAGGACATAGGAGACATATTATATTAATTAAGTACTCACATGTTTCCTGAACAGGTCGACATGCGGGCCAAGAGTGTGAGGATCAGCCTCCTGGACGAACCGTATGACATCATCGACTGACCAGGAAGAAGCGTCGTTTACTGAACCCTCCTTGTCCTGTTTCACATGGTCTGGACCGGTTGTTGAGCTCGCTGCTGTAAAGATGTCCAGGCAACAGAAAGGACAATCGAAATTAAAATAACACCTTGATCAAATACCATACAATCTGAGTTACAATTAAATGTTAACAAGGCCCATTGTCAACACTAGCTATGCACTGCAATAAAAGCGCTGGTGTATACTTTTTTTTATGTATTCTATATCTCTTAAAGATGTTTGGCATCAGCCTGCCTGTAGCACAATATATATAATATAATAATATCCCACTTGTAGCACATAAGTAACAACCCATCATTCCCGTGTTAGCATAATTATCAAGAGATCTACAGCTTACATTTTTAGCCAGCAGGATTAACAGTAGATTTGATTTTACTGTGACTGAACAAAGAAAACATTGTTTGAAAATCTGCCTACATTATCTTAACAATAGAAGGGTTCAGTTCACATATGAAGAAAACTTTATTAACTCATTTTAAGAGTGGACTAATTACCCCCAATTACTTTTGTCACTTATTAAATCAGCAAACTTCATAGCAGAAGCTAAAATCACAAGTGACTGAGTATGATACTTTCTCATTAAATGCTGATTACAAGACTGTAAAATACAAAGAAACAATCATAATCCCTTTCTGAAGCAGGGACCTACTCCCCATTGGAAGAGCGGTTCAATTCTTTAGCTCACCTCATGAAAACAAGAAGTCTTAAAACTAAACAGAATGAAGTAATTTGTGATTTTCACCTCATTTTAAAAGGAACCGGCCCTGACAATAGGATCATTTTGCCCCAGGTGACTGTCTGTGTGTAGTTAAGCTTACCCTCTACCCGTCTCTGTGCACTCATATTGGTGTGCTCAGTAGGGTTGGAGCTGACGCGTCTTAGGGGTGGCGGTGTGTGTGTTTGTCCAGGGAAATATGGCCGCTCCTTCTTCGCTGCTCTGTAGTCTGATGGGTTGTGAAGGGAGCGGGTGCTGGGAGCTGGATCCTTTGTGGAGTCGTCTTTGGACAGGCCATTCTCAGTGTGGGACACTGGTTCTGTTTTAAGAGTGGTTAAGAGAGATACTGAGGCCACTCCAAAAAGAACTGACAAAGTTTGCTTCCAGTTGAGCACATTACAGAGAGACTTATATGCATAAAATGCATTTCATTGGTTTAATTGTGTTATTTCCTGCAGTAATTTCCATTTGACACTCTCTCCTCTCATTGTTTTGCTTTTTACTCCCTCTTGTTATTGCTACTCCATTTACAAACTTGCCCACCTGACTTTGTCCGGTTGTAGAAGCGCGCGTTGTTGGTGAAGGCGCTGAATGGCTGCGAGCTGAACAAACTGTCGCTCTCTAGATGTTGGCACATGTTCTCCAGAAACCGCAGCACAGAAGACGTGCTGGAGGCCGAGGGCAGCTTCACATAGCGGATACCATGCTCAGACCGTACTGATAGGGGAAAGGGGGGCACACAGCACAAACAACTATTAGTCTATGTGCTGTATATAGACACACATACACAAATACACAAACACACACACACACACACACACACACACACACACAGGCTGTGACATTCACAGCTAAAGAAAAGCAGCAGATGGTTTAGGGTTAGCTCCCTCCCTTTATAAGCACAAACCCGCATTTTTCACCCACACTGCTCTGCACCCTCCCACCCAAGCCAAGCCTGCACAAATCCACAAATTAGACCCCCCCCCCCCCCATCCCCCCCCTAACCATACTCTTCCCAATCCAGCCACCCAAGGGAGATCCAATCCCAGCATCCCAAACCAGGTTAGACGCACGTCATTTCTGATTACAGACGCAATGCTCGCATCAGCTGCTGCCAAAGGCCCGGTCTTTTATTCCTCCTCTCTTACTGCTCACATACACACTCACACATGCACAGACAGACACTCACACACAAAACACAGAGTGTGTGCTTACACCAATTTCAGCTGACTGATTGTTTACTGGCAACTAAAATTCATTAGAATGTGTCTTGTGCTTTATTTTAAGATGTGACTTGCGAGAGAATTGCTCGAATGTTTGGGAAAACCTTATTCAATTGCTTGACGAGAGAAGAAATGATGGTTACTTCTATGTCTACAGCATATATGAATCTCCTGAAGGCTCTTATTAGTTAAGCCTAGTATAAAGACAGGAAACGGCTAAATAACCCCTAGGTTGCTCTTTTCAAGGAAAATAAAATTCACCTAACTGCACCTCAAAAGCCTGAAGAAATCATTTTTTTGCCAATTAAATTGCCAAAATATGGGTTTGCACTTTCAATTGAACAAAGTCAGCATTATATTGACATCACCTTGTGACTTGCAAGGGTGTCTTCTTCTTTCAAATGAATCAGTTGTTATTCTGTAAACATTTACCTCTGATGACTTCCCCTCCGGTGTGAGACTGGCTCTGTAGGAAGGACAGCAGCACAGAGGGCTGGTACGTACAGTCCACACAGGCCTGAACAGCTTGCTGGAGCACAGCGTTGACTGGTGCTGGACCAAAGTGGTCTGGCAGCTGTTGTACTAGTTTTCTGTCAAGATGCCGACCATAGTCACCGTGTTTGTTCACATAGACACACACTGGAATGACCCGAAGAGAGAGAAGACACCAAAAAAAAACAACATTTTTTGCATTCTTTCTGTTGATGATGAACAATGCTAGAATTTGACAAAACAAAATGTAAGAAATTTAACATAAGGTCTACACATTAAGGAGTCAGACTAATCCAGTTCACCTGTGCAAACTACATTGGAGCCGTTGCTGTGGTTGTTGTCTGAGGAAACAAGAATGGAGCTCAGTCTGGTCTCAGGAGGCGGAGCTGTAACCGATGGCACCCCCAGGGAGTGACCCACCTGAGGCTTCTTCTGGAGTAAAAAAACAAACAATCCCTCTCTTATTAACTCTCTGTAATCTACAAAGGCTGTTAGTTGCTGATTTATTAAAGGTCTTTTTAGCAGATACTGCTTCTAAATCAAAGCTGGTCTCTTCATTTATAAGATTTAAAAAAAACATTCCTGCTTTTCTTTTAAAGCCCCTCTGACCTTGAGTCCTCTTTATCCAAATATTTTCTGCAAACATGCATAAAAAAGAAAATGGCAGGGTCAATGGACTGCAGCATAACAGATTACAGCTCTTGTGACATCTCACCTTGTTCTTGGGTTTAGGCCCTCTCTTCTTGTGTGGTCTGGGGGCCAGTTGAGCCTCAGAGCCGGTCCTGGCAGGGCTCTGTGATGCTCCATTAACTGCTGCTGCCGCCGCAGCTTCGGCCGCTGCCTTCAACAAAGCGATGGTCTGGGATTTGGGACGTCGACCTCGGACACCCTTGCGCACAGGGAGGGGTGGTAAGGGGTTGGGCAGTCTGTACGAGGTCTGCATGGAGGAGGAAGAGTTGAACGAGGAGCGACGAGTGGAGAGGGAGGGTGAGATGGAGGATACAGGAGCGAGGAGTGCACCAGGGAGGGTAACTGGAAATAATGAGATGTGGAAGAGGAAGAGAAAGAGAAAGAAAAAGAAAGGAAAGACAAAGCATATACGTTTATCTTTCTTATAATCCAAACGTTAGGCAGTGTTAGGTGGTTAATAATACAACATTAAAATGTATAATAAGGCATATTTCATTCCATTTCCATCCTTTTTTCCCCGAGGAAAAATAAGATGTAGAGGGGGGAAAGGAATAACTGTGATGTCCTGCAGAGGAGATTTGTTTAGATTTTCCAGAGTCCTCTGAGATTGACAGGTCCTTTGTATTCAGCCCCTCCCTCTACTGAAATCAGAGTCAAAAGTCATGAGTCCCTCGAGACCTGCCTGCTAGACCGTGCCTTTAAACCCATGAAAACTCATGATTATGGTGATAAGATCTTAATTCTTTTCAATACACCAAAGTAAATATTGGATTTCTGAGACCATTGTGAAGTGGGAGTTAAAAAGTATAATAACACATTTCCACTATACCTGTTTTAGAAATCCACATATACTTATAAAATGACACGTTTCATCAAGACTCAGATACAATCAAGTCATGACAAAGATGGGTATTGACTCGGAAAACAATAAGAGCAAGAATAGACAGACAGACAGACAGAATAGAGAAATCAGTTAAATAACAATAAAGTGTACCAAAGCAGAAAAACGCAACACAAGGCACAAAAATAAAAATGATGGCCCATTCAAAATTTTAGATTCAGATCTATGATAAACTATACTGAGATATGATGGGGAAAGTAATAATGAATGTATGTAGTGTAAAGTGTCCGAGCAATGCAAGATATCGTAAAACTTCAATTAATAGCCCGGGCTTGTATTTATTTTTAACTTAAACTGCCATTATTTGGGATGGGCGTCGATTCCAGACAAGCCTTTAATTATTTTCAAACCAAACTCATGAACAGCAAAGATGGGACAATTTTAAGTGTACACCAGAAAGAATAACTGTGTACACAACTGGGATATCGTTTAAAAAAATAAACTTAAAAATCACTTATTTGATCTTGCTTACTAGGACAGCCCGTGTATGGCAGCCTTCTGCACTTCCTTTTTTACCCGAATGTTTCATCTGCAAACTATTTCAACACTAAATGCATAGTGGCCTCTAGTTAAGACCTGCTTCTATTTGTCAAATTGTGCAGCATCACCAGGCTAGTAAAAGGGCCTTAAATTGGAATGAGCTAAAAAATATATATATATATTTTGACTGTCAGTTCCTACCATCAGATCTGACTCCAAACGCAGCGATGGTTGAGAGTATATTGGCAGATGCATTTTGAGCTTAGATTGAATCACTGGTGGTGTGTCAGGTGAGAAAACAACATACTGGTCTGTTCATCAACTTAAATATCTGACATTTTTATGAGGAAAATAAATATAGCTGGAGAAAAATAACCCCCCCCCCCCTCCAGTCTTCATTAGCTCTGAGTGTGAATCTGTGATAGGATCACATAATCATCATTTTCGGAGTGTTAAAGAAAGAGCGCAAAAATGAGTCACAAAGACACAAAGAAAAGGAGGAAAGGGGGACGATGAGCATCTCCTGTTTCAACACAAACGTAATGCCCACTGTGTGTGTGTTGGGGGGGGGGGGGTTCTGAGAGTGCATGTGGAGGCTCTCAGGGGGTTGAGGCTTTCATTAGAGCCTCCTTGACTGAGGGAATATGGAGACACTATGGAAGGTTTACAGTATCCTCTGGGGGTCAGCCGGGGCACCCTGAAAGCTGTTAATTGGGAAAAGAGTGAGAGTGGGCGTAGGATCGAGCCGTGTTTTGTTTCAGAGGGCGAGCGGTCACACAAAGCGTGTTCTCAGAGGAATGATACCAACCTGCGCACACAGTGGCACGTTTATTCCCACAGAGCGAGAAGCTATAAGCCCCACAAAGGCAGTTCATCTTTACTTAATCAGAATCAGCAGGTTTTAATTCAGCATAGGAGAGACAAGTTGGGGGGCTTCTCTGATCTTTGCCTGCTGCAGAAACGAAAGTCTAATCCGTTCATGTTGGGTGACAGCCGCTGCAACAACATGTTGGCTACCTTTTCCCGACTTGTGATTAGTGTCACCTACTGTCAAATATTAGCTTATCCTCACACATACGTATAAAAAAACTCATCACCTCAGCGTTTTTACAACTTCAGAACTCTGCTTAAATATGCATTTTATTTCACACTCTCTGACAGGACCATCTGTATTCTGTACTCCACATGCTCAAGATCATTATTTTAAGTTATACATTTTGGGCAATTTTTTTTATCTTTATTGACAGGACAGTTGAAGAGAGAGGAAATATTGGTGGGGGAGAGTTTGGGGATGAACCCTTGGCTGCTGTGATGAGGACCACAGCCTCCGTACATGGCGCGAGTCATAACTGTTAAGCTATTGGCGCCCAAGATCATTATTTAAGAAATTTTATGTTTACATTGTGTGAAATATTCAAACCAAAAACTCTGGATATAGTTTTAAAGTCTAGAGCAACATTTTATACATTATTTACCAGGAATAAAATCTGATCGATATTGGAATCTAGGTAAACTTCCATTACTTGTTGGTTAAGTTAAACTTGTTCGCAGCTTTAGAAAGGTTAAAGGGGGAAAGGTGTGTGCATCTCTGTGGACAGAGCAGTATGTGTATCTCTTTGCAGAGCGTGTCCTGTAAATGAGGGAGAAGAATTCTGTAAGGCAAAAAAATCTTCCTGTTAAAAGTCAATAAATCGTATCACTCGTTATAGTTCTTTTCTAAGGAAAGTGAAAGAAAAAGACAATAAAAAAATAACTTGATATAAATGATCAATCTGTTCCTGGAGGTCTGGATTTCATTTAGAGGTTATAGATCTTCAGTTTTTATTTCAGTCTGTTTCATGACCAGCTAAAAACTCCTCACACGAGCTTTGACTTCAACTCTTGTTTAGTTTACATTTTTTGCTGACCATTTGTGAATATGAATTAAGACACTAATGATTACTCTCCCTCAATATTCATTCATTCATTGATTGTTTGAAAATGTATATGGCAATATCATGGAGCCCAATGTAACATTTTCAATGTTCTTGTTGTTGCTAGTCGACATATATTAGATTTAAAAATCATATGAAAGAAGAAATCAGCACATGTTTATATTCAAGATGTAAACATGGACTAAGAAAGCTAGTTACTGATACCTTAGAGTGAATAGATGCTAATTTGAATACAACTCAACAATATTTCATATTATCTTTAACAAGTATCATGATCAACAGTTCAGTTAGACATTTTCGATATGTGCTTTAACTAGAACCAACAAAAAGCTGATATTTTTTCCTTAAAATATGATACAAATGGGTCGCCAGTCGCTTATCAGTTAGTGTGCACGCCCCATTTACAGAAACTTCAGTCCTCCAGAGCGGGTGGCCCGGGTTGGAATCTGACCTGTGGCTCCATTACGCATGACGTTCCCCTATCTCTCTCTCATCCGTTTCTGACTCTATCCACTGTCCTAGCTCTAAAATAAAGGCATAAAAAGCCCCAAAATACATTTTTTTTAAATGTCAATGATACAAAAAAATGCAACATATACAAATACTCAGAATCATTGCAGTAAATTTTCAATTGACTAATCAACTAAGCAATAAAAAAACCGTCTGCTCCTTATGCTCTCTTTTTATCTTTGTCTTTGTTAGTTGCAGCCATTACTTTCCATCGGTTATTGTTGCACACAGTATGCAGATCAACAGTAACCAATGACTGCCAGAAAATGTTAAAAGGGTGCATTCATAAGTCCTTAAACCTGCAGAGTGGGTTTGAAAATAAGTAGAATTATGTTGGTATTTTGAGTAAATATTCTGAAATACCTTAAATCACTCAGGTTCACAAAAGAAACATATTTAACTAATCTGAATCTGAAAAAGTCCAATCTGAGCATGGTGTCCCTGCATGCATACGCAGCAACTAAACAGAGACATATGGTTCTGATCATGGCTATATAATTCTGAGTCGACCCTCTGACCTGTGTGAAGCTCAGCCTGAGGAAACATGTGCATGTGTGAGCATATTAGAATGTGTGGGTGTATGTACACGCATGAGAACGGGGTCGCTAAGAAGTGTGTCTGCTGTCTGGGGGGGGGGGGGGGGGAAGGGCTCCACAAAGTAGCTTCTCATCTAATTACAACACCCCCCCCGCCCCCACACACACACATGCCGAGCACTCTCTCAGCAAACAGACCAATCAGCCACACACACACACACACACACATTCACGAACACATGGGCTGCCCTGCTGAGTGAATCTGAAGTAGTTTGAAACTCGTGAACTGTGTGTGTGTGTGTGTGTGTGTGTGTGTGTGTGTGTGTGTGCATGAAGCAGAAAGGGGAAGTTAGTAAAATGGCCTTAAGGCAAGTATAAACACAACAATGTGTCGCTGTGCAGGTCTAAAGAATGACATGCCAGCTTTTTTCAAACACAGGAAATGACTTTTATAATACTTGGACTTATGTGAATGTTTACCTTTCTACTGGACATATAAGTAGTGGTGATACAAAACGAAGTCTGATGCATAAAATCAATGTTCTTCATGTTTGATACCCACCAATCCTTGCCTAAATCTTTTGCAAACTGATTCCCCGAGCTTTAAGCATGATGCAAAACACATGTATCCTCAAATTTAATTACAGCAAACCCGTCTGCCGACTAAGAATTTTGGGCTCTCTGATTTTGAACAGCTTCACGTTTCTAACAGTTACATTGAATGGATGCAAGTCTTTTTAAAAGTCTTCATGCCAAACAAAGAAACAGTGTAGACTGCAGCCTTTAATCATTTACACAGGAGGAGGAGGAGGAGGAGGCTGCTACACACATGTGAGTCCACATGCAACTTTCACCAGAACAGCAGATTTAACTTTTACTTCCCCAAATTTCGTCTTTTATACAGAAACCAACCTGAAGAAAACAGGAGTTTTAAATTGTTAATCTAAGCATGTTAAAATAAATGATTCCTTCCTGAAATGT